CATTGCCGAAATAAATTCATGAGGCGGCACTGAAAAAAGGCTGCGAAGCTTCAAGTCTGTGGGCACTGCATTTAGCCTCGATGGGTGCAAATGTTACTAGAATATCCGTCAAAAATGAGGGGTTGGCGTATTTTCAACGCCATAACTTGTGAGTACGCAACTTGCTAGTTCGAGAAACATCAAAAGAACAATCGGCTTAAGGCAGGCAAGTAAACATACAGCACTTTTAGCTGCCTAACATCTGAACACTAAAAAGAAATGATGCGAAAAAAAACCCCGTAATTTCAAGATGGCCAATGTTTGCTGGGTTCCGAATTTGCGCCTGCTGAAAAACTTTACATATTATAGCACTGTTGTGCGCTTCGCCGGCTTGCTATGGTGAAAAGCGACTGTACGAACTAGAACGTGGTGAAACTGTCCAGCAACTTGAATCAATGAATTTTTTCGATAACGCTGGAAAAGTGGTAAATTGTTGTTTTCAAAAACTGCATACACCAAAGGAAGTCTTTGCGGGCATGCATTCGCAAGTCAAAATGCAATGTGTGTTCGTCACAAGGAACCTGATGACTGCTTTCATGTTTCTGGAGCGATAACGCCCATATGTCGAACAGGTGGTTCTGGTACTAAATGGAGATATGCAGTTTAGCGGAAGTCCTGGCGCAGCTGCATCCGACATGTGGAAGCATCCCATTTGTAGCACTGTTGAATTCGACTGGTTTTAGTATTCTTGGCAAGAAAGAAATAAATTGCTACAGAATTATGAATGAAGTCATATTAAGTTTCTCTACATATTCGTCGAGTCCATCAGAAGGCCAACCTTCCAGCTAATGTTGCCCGCATTGCCAAGGATTAAATTTTTTTCTAAAAATCATGCAAGCAAAATAAATTAGTTCTTAACTTATGCATGTCAAATTCATGCCTAATACTGGATTAGGCTAAATACCTTATCTTTGCTGCTGTGCTAACACTGTGGAAGAAATGACTGAAAAAGCAGTTGAAGTCCAAACGCTTTTCTCAGCATCGTTGGCGTCGAACGATTCTTTCCATTTTTGATGCGTTTTAAAATTTTGCTCTTCATTTCTATGCAACTTTTTTTTTTATCACAAAACTTTGTTGCAGTGCCAAAAATTCTATCAAAACAGCAGCTGTTCTGACCAAATGCAGTTGACGTCTGGTATAATTGTAGAAATACTGCCTGGCAATAATATCCGGTAAGTTTCAGAACATCCAGTAACTGAATTTGAGGAAAAAAAAGTTTTTAATTTCAGCTGATGCACAGTAAAACACCATGAATCATGCATGAGTAAGATGGATATCACAAGAAGACGTGGAAATTATATGTATAATTGCCGTAGTTACACTGTATATATCATTACCATAATGTACATACATGTATATAATTATCAATTAATGTTATACCGATTGGTTCTCTATGTATTTTATACATATGTGTGTTCAAAATTAATCGATCGGGCAGGAATAAAGTAATTAATCGATCCTTTAACTAGCATACTTTAGAGCAAAATGGAAATGCTGTTTTTACGAAGGATTGCGGCGCGCCAGCTTTCTCAAAACAGTCGTTTTGGGAGCTGGCGATCATTATCGTGGAGGAGAGGTGTATGAAAATGGCCAAAGAGTTGCATTTGACTTTATCAAGGATATCCAAATAACAATCGATGAACAGCAGAGGTATCAGATAAATTATTTAAGAAGGCTGTTGCGAATATTTTCAGACATCACAGTAGAAGTGACTGGGGTTACAAGTTTGCCTACGGAATTACTGCCTAGCATAACTATTTTCGTTGCTTTTTACGCCCTATTTTTTAGGCTGTAGTCATTTTGCACTTTATTACTTTTTCAGTGGTGAGCTTCCGGCCATTTTTCTTTCGATGTTCTGACAATGCAAGCGTTTCTCTTTTTTTCACATTCTCATGCGGCTTGCTCATTTTCATCCATAAAATCGCCGTTTGCTTGCATAATTTTAATGCCTCAGTGCTAAGTTTCTTCAGTGCAAAAAAGAGTGTGTTCCATCTCGGTTATCATCCACGGGTATACTTCAAATATGGTAAAAGACATAGCCACCGAATTTTTCATATGTCTCAGCGAGTCATGTAGCATATCGCTCTGTTTCTGTCCTCTTGGTATACAGTTAAAAACACTTTCGAAAAATGTTGCTAACCAAAAGAGTCCATCATTAATAGCTAGAAATTCATTAAAAAAATGAAAGTTGGCAAAGGGCAAAGATAACTTGCAGAATCAGAGAAAAGCAGATTAATAAAGTGACAATTCAGTTAACTGCGGAAAAAATTAACATGAAGACAAACAAAAAGCGAAGCACAAAGATAGCCGATCGACAATTTGTCAAAAAAAATTGTCAAAAAACCTTAAAAGCTCTTCGAAATCAATGTTTAGGTCACGGTACGAGCTGAAAATATCACGCTTGGCGTGTATGACAAATCCTCTCGATGAAAAACATCAAGGTTCGTCTATTTGATTGTCGTGTTTTGTCTCCTACATGGTGTCAGCTAAATCCAAGTATTACTTCCTTGGTTGATTTTTGGTGAACTATAGAAGAATCTGAAGCGTTCAAAAGCGAATCATTAAACACCAGCGGAATGAAAAAGACGATTTTTTAAAAATGTCGTTGTTTTATTTGATATTTTTTAAGGGGCTTAGAACGCATTTTAGTAAAACTCTTAGTTACTACAGTAATTTGACTGTGACTAGTTGTCGGTAGGAAACTGGCGTAAATTTTCGTCTTTCTAAATCCTTTTCTGAATTAACAAAAAGCGTTGATTATTTCAGCTAACGATGACCGAAAAAATAATTTTTCTCCATCAGCAGCTGAAACATCCTCGCAGGATTATGATGTCCAAGAATTGGTCCCCACATATTATCATCGCATGAGCTATTCAAAACCAAAAAGGTTTACTTCAACCTATTTTATTTAGCAGGTACAACTGACCACTTGCTCTCTTCGTCACCACAGATTGTTACATGAACTTGCTGTGGTTTACACATAAGATGATGTGGCACGCAAAGAGCTGTAAATCAAATCACTGTCTTTATTTTTTGAAAAAAAAATGTGACTTTTCGAGGCTTCTTCTCTCGTAATAAAAGCCAACATTACAATAATCTGATGGTTTATATATTGGGATGATTGCCCCGCAGTGAATCGGACCCCTTCTTCGTATTCGTAAGCTCTCAGCATGTTTCCATTTGATTTTGGTTTGTGCCTTGCAGATAATCCAAAAGCTGGGTTAAAGTTTTGTGAGTATGGTCCATAGTCAGATGCAGGCAAATCTACCTAAAACCTTTTCAAATTCATTAAATAGTACATTCAGGAGACAAGTGAGTGTTTGGCGTAGACAGTTTTGGGATTTACTGTGCAAAAAAATGTATGGTCGCATTTTCAATCGAGATGCGGGCTACTAATTATTGAAATTTTAACAGGCATTCTACATTTTACGATGATGAATTCGACGACATATTCCCATCCAGTCTGCGACTGAGCCATCATCGACTTTTGGCTTTGCGCAGAAGACCTTTTTATCGGCCAATTGCTGAGGATTATGATTATTATCGTTACGATCCTGCAATTATTAGACGGCCTTCGTTGCATCGACGGTGAGCGATACATTCTCGTCCAGAACTGCTTATAAGCTTTTTTGCTTAGATATCTTAGGCGTCAGAACTTGACAGCTGTTTAAAAAAGAACTTAATATCAGACAAGCATACTGGCCGTTATTGATCTCTTCTGATGCATTCTTCTCAGAATTACTAAAAAAAAATTAATCAAAGCTTTTTACATGAATTCCGATCCAGGTGTTCCTCCCCGTACGAGATTAGAAACGGACTAGCTTGAATCGAAGCGCTGCAAGGTACAAACTCTGATAGCTTTATGCATAGGAAAAATAAATGTACTGCTTTATGCTCAGCTAAGTCTAAACGGTATAGCCTACAATGCCACGCTTACCAGGGAGCTAGGACGCAGTAAAGGTCATGCATCTATGAGAAACAAAACACACAACGTGACTGGAACTAAAACATAAAATTAACAAAAAAAGGAGCCCAGCATGTGCACGCTTCGATTTATAGCAGTGGATCAACAACCGCAAGTCAAAGAGGTACTTAGAATCTCCGATGACCAAATGATACCTCCACGAAATGAACTGGAGTAGAGCGGCATCCGAAAAAGTGCTACAAATAGACGTCCCTACCGCTTACCTTTGGAGATTATAGTACAGCTTATGAGACTGTTCATGGCCGCGCCCTGCATTTCCTAGCAGTATTAGCACTAATATCAAGCAAACACCATTTTTTTTTGGTATTCTTGTTTTTAGGTTAAAGAATTATTAAAAAATTAGGCCCTTGAAAAATGTATTATTTTGCAGTAAGTCTATGCAGCTTTTCATTTAGAGTGATCACAAACGATCGCTTGTGGCCGATTAATACTGAACGTACTCGACCTGCATTTCCTGCTCTTTACGGAATTGCTTCATTGGAGGTTAAAAGCCTTTCTTCTGTACACAGCAGAATAGCACAGCATGCGAGATCACGTTTGTTTACGTACAAGAACTTGTGTATCCCGTTTATAAATGTGTGGCCAGGATGATTTCAGTTCAAGAAAATATCGGAAAAGATGAAGTTATCTAGCTGCCAATCCCTCGACCATTTCCCAGGCCACAGTTCTCAAAACCAACTTTTTGATGTTTCTCTGACTTTCTTAACCAAAAAATCCAAGCCAAACCTTGAAATGCTCTAATGTTTCAAAGCTATACAAACTACAGATATGATTTAGTTGGCATCTGTGTATATTAACGAACAACTGCTCTGTTCTCAGCTGAGTGTTCTTATCATACAACTAGGCAATTGGCATGTGCAATGTATCTTGCATGTACTGTTTGGGAATTAGGGCTGAAAACTGTTATTATCGACTTTGATCATTCATGCCACAAAATCAAAAAGATGAATCTTTTCTCTTTAACTTGCTTTAGAGCATGCCGAACACAATAGACGGCGATTATCACCAGGTCATTGATGGTGATAGCTCAGTCCCAGCAGTTCCTGCGCCAGCCGAAGTTTACAACCAACCACCGGCCCCTCCTGCGAACGATTATAATGTCGCTCCTCCTGCTCCTGTTAGCAATCAAATCGAAGTGCAGGTATGCTCTTTTTCAAGAAAATGCAAAAAATGAGTGCTGTGAACCTACTTGCTGGCGCTATTGGGATGCTAGCGTCACGTCTAGATTTCGCGTCAAGCAAAATGCTATAGTCACGTTTAGAAGTCCACAAATACGAAGCAGTGAGTTCTAGGCAGGCACGTCTGTTCGGGGCAGAAAATGCGGATGAATGGTGACACACCGAAAGCTGGTGGCACATTCTTGCGATAACTAAATGTCTTTCCATGATTTTATGTAATCAACAAAAGTAACAGTAATAATCACCGTGATAATAATAACATTATCAAGAATACCAAGACTGTCCGAGGTATCAGTATGAGTATTCCAGGACAGTAATCGTACAAGGATGCTCCCACATAACCGGTGCAGCTATGCCAGGCCCACCGATCTTGAAAGGAATGTTCGCAGTTACTGTGTGTAATAATAACAATAATAATAGTAATAATAATAATAATTTGTCAGTTAATGAAACTTAAATATTTTTGTTTTTGGTTCACAGGTTTTTTTTTTTTCAAATTTTTTCGCCTTTCAAATTTTGCAGTTGAAATATTTCATATTGCTCATAATAGGATTTCAGCCTGCAGTACCTGCAGCAACAGCACCTTCATATGTTCCGTATCCACCTGCAGCACCTCCAATTGTCCAATATCCGCCTCAACCAGTTCCTGTCCCGGAACCACGAATTGTTCCTGTAGCAGCACAACGTGCCGTTCCTACATATGGTGGCGGTGTACCGGTTAGCACACTGTGAACTTTATTAGCGCTATGCTTAAGAGCAAATTTCCAAAACGCTAGCCAAAAATTCCGATTTCTGATACACTTCTTGAGTTATGCAAGGAAGCTGAAAATTACCGAAAAAGTGAAAAGCTTACAATTTTGGAGAATGTCCGAAATTTCGAAAGAAAAATACAGGAAGAATACTTACTGCATCTAACTACAAAGCATAATGTTTTCAGTATTATAGTGGTTACTTTGAGTCACTGCAGTGCTTCAGCGGTGATACAACTGTACAAACTCCTAATGCTATCAAACGGATTGATGAACTGGAAATTGGCGATCGAGTTTTGTCGATTGAAGAATCATTGGTATGCTTTTGCAACTTATCTACAACGGAGAGACATCAATTTCTCACATCCTCGTCCTGTAAATTATGAGAACGAAGTAGGAATTGAACAACTGCATCATTTTTCCGCACAGTTTCCTTGCTTTTGGTGCGCAGCAATCCACGAACGGTTTCTTGTATCTTTAATGAAAAAAAAAGTCTTCCAACTTATCGCACAGCCAATTTGTATGCTTCTCCTTGCACTATTTCATTCATAGCAGATCGGATGACCTCATTTACAGAAAAATGACTAGATGTGAAGCTGAAGCTGGTACCTCATCGATGAGCACTCCTTCCTCCCCTAGAATTGTCTGTCTCGAGCTTGTTGAATCTGCCCGTCGGTAGTGGATGTTGATGAGCACTTTATCTCTTCTTTGTGTTTCCTGGCTGTTCAGCTTTTTGGAAACTTCTTGACCCATTCGTGCTCAGTTCTTAACGATAAAACGTTGGCCACTGTATTGTGATGAAATCCTACGATGAATTTCGGCACCGGAAACTTCTTCAGACAACAATTCCATTGCAGGTTTTGTATTCGCCGGTAATGATATTTTTGCATCGATCGCACAACGAGTCAGCAGTTTTTAATAAAATCCAGACGGTGAGCTTCCTTTATGTTCTTGTGTTTCTGAAGAGCAGCAAACTGTCTGAATAGCAATGAGTGTCATTTCGGGTAAGAGTACCAACGCCGTACCTCACCTCCTGTCTTGCGAGCAGTTTAGTACCCTTATGCACTTTATGCGTAATCTTAAGGATGATGGAAAAGAAGTGAAGCTGACGGATTTCCATCTACTCTACGTAACAAACTGCAAGGCTAGCGAGCAGCTCCGTTTGGTTCATGCAAAGGATGTTCGAATCGGGCAGTGCTTACACGTTGCAAGGGAGCAGTCCAACAGTTTGCTGCCAATTCGAATTGCTAACATCGAGCGGGTTTGTTGCTTTTCCAAGTCTTCAGTGTTTTTTTTTTTTTCTATTTTTTCGTGTTTTGATTCGGTTAGTGTTAATTCTAGCAAGCAACTTTCAAGTTCAATTTAGGTTGCCGGGAAAGGAATTTATGCACCGCTAACCAAATCTGGTGATATTGTTGTCAATTCAGTGCTCTCGTCGTGCCACAGTAATCTTGTTGCTCAAACATTACAACAGTCATTTTTTGCGTTGCTACGTCGCTTTCAATCGTTGCTACCCGCAAAGGTTTCGGCGCTTGACTCTCAAACCGGTCTGCTTCCAGGCGTTCACTACTTCATAGAAATTTTAAACCTATTTCTACCAGTCTATACACATTCCTAGACTTTATATGCAAAATACAATAGCTAACTGCCTAGTTTCGGACCTTAGTGTTATCGCTGCTCTGTATGTAAGATGCAACCAGAAAGCATTTTTATTTTACACCGGGTAAAAACTATGCAGGAAAACTAAAATCATGTGAAAAAAATCAAGATTTTTCCAATTAATATTTCTTCCGAAAATACAACAAAGGTAAAAAAATCCCAGCATCGTCAAAAGCTGTAAACCTTTCGTGAAGAAAAAAAAGATTCACCCCATCTTTAATCTTTTCAGTTTGAACGTCTGGGGTTCATAACTGCCGCTTCTATTCATACATGAAAAAATAAAACAGCATTACGTAATCTGTAAAATGAAGCATAACATAGCACTCATTACGGGACAATGAAGTGACAGTGTTCAACTAATTTTGTTTGCTCAACAAATAAGAAAGATGCAACAGCAACAATTAAAAAATCCTACAACACAAACAATACTTACAAGAATATCTTTAGCACGAGCAAGAAGAAAAAAACACGTTTGGGAAAGCTCTATTAACATGCTGTTTAGGTGATTTTGAGCAAAGATGTCAGAAAAATATTCTTGATGCACTATTCGACCGCAGTGGTGCACTTCTCCTCTCTCTCTCTCTCAAACATTAGCAACCGAGGATGTTGCGAAACGCTGTATTCCAGAAAGCAAATACGAAATGTCTAACGTCCGTACACAGTAGTCTTTTCTCTGGAATCCAGAGAAATCTCTCGGTTTATTACATCGAATTACCCTGTTTAAGACTAAAATACACGGAGTATGGTTTGGATTTTAACTGAAACGGAACATGGTGCGACTCGAAACGCAACAATGTTTTGAGAATGTTCCAGAGTTATCCTTTTTTTTGTGAACTTCTATTCACTAATCTTTGAAATTTGTTTGTTAATGAATTGTACATAAAACTGTTAAATCATCGAATGATACGCTCTATATGTTTTTGCACAGTATATTCAATTTTGCGATCATACATTTTTGCTCAGTTTCGTACATCAAATAAGACCACTGACAGTATGAAACACTGATGTTTTACAGTTTACTATGAGCGTTTATGTTGGGTTGGAACTATTCCTGTTGGCACTTTTTTATGCGTGAAAGGGAGAGGGGTAGCCGCTAAGACAGTACTTTTGTTCGGCACATTTCTGTTGGCTCAGGCTGCTCGTGTGGCGCACGGATATAACACAGCGCTATTTATGCTGCTCCAGAAAATACTAATGACTATAATGTCCATGCACAACAAACGTATCATTCATACATATTTACAAATTTAACCACATATGTATAACTTTCACGCGAGGTACCTTCTCGCCAACATACGTCTCCCGTAATAGCTCGGACCGCCAAGCTTGCTTGAAAATCTACTTGTGGCTTTTACGCCTTTTATATATGTGGAAATTAAATTATAAATGAGTATTAATAGTTTTTATGCTAAATCCCAATCTTCTAACAAATGAACCACTACAGTAACCCATCCCCCTATTCCTATCAAATCTAACATTCCATTCTTAAAATACCTTCCTTTTGGTTCCTTTTCTAATGCAACAACTTTTTTTAAGCCGCCTGCCTGACGCCATTTCCTTATTTATCCTAAAACACTAACATTCCCTAAATTCCGGGGGAGGTCCTAGTTCCCCTATTTAAACAACGCTTATTTGGAACTTTTCATCACTCACCACATGCAGTTCGGCATCCGGACGTTACGACCGCAACTATAGTCCGCACTGGCCTGACCCATCATTCCAGTAATTTGAGATCGCTGCCACCCTTGAACGTCTGCGCCTTTCTACATAAAACGCTGCCTCCACGCTGCAAGCCTCATCCACAACGACCACTAAAAATCCCCACCAACTACAACTACATATATATATATACTATATATATTAGGTTGTTCGGAAAATAATGTCCGTTTTCGACCAAAATTTTTAAAGTGACATATCTCAGCAATGAATAAAGTTTATTAATT